ATAGTATTTTAACTTACTTGTTTATTAAATTATGTGTGGCTATATGCTAATTGCTGGGTGTCTAGAGGGCCTCCGTTGCTTTCTGGGCCTAGGAAGACTCCTATTTTTAAATGCGGGAAAATGCGATTCCCATAGTAACAGATGATATACCGAATCATCAAGGGGAATCATATATTGTTTAGACTAGATTCTTCTCTGAAAGAGCGTTGAAAGGAGTATGAAAAACAAAACGCTAAATAGCATAGGGGGGGTAATACATTGATCTCAACCTTCGTGCATGTGGGAAAAGAGAAGTGTTTATTACAGGCAAGTACCGAGCAGTAGGCTTTTACGAAGAACCGTCGCGGAAGGAGGGGAAGAGAGGGGAGTCTCCAATAACATACGGATTTCAGGCGAGTAAAGGAAAGAGAGACGTATAGCCGGTTCCCTAATAAAAACTCGATACATACGGAGGAATTCGGGGAAGGTGTATAAAGCGTCGCTGGGGAGCGCAGAAGGGCCGGAGCCAAGCGATGGAATCTTGTGAACGACACGTCGGGAACAAACTTAATAGCAGAGCTGCTCAGGCCGTTGCAGTATACCCCATGACAAGTGGGCTTAAATTATGTGACTTTAGCCTGGCGAGTAAAAAGAAGGATGGGACGCGCGTAAAGGGGTCAGGCCAGCTAGAGGTCAATCGAAAATAGAGCAGTGTGAACGCGAGGCGCGAAGCAATGGAACGAAGGGGGGTGCGGGAGTACGGTACGGAGGACATGAAGACACAAACGTCAGGGGGCCGCCAACAAAGTATAAAACGGCGGGAAAGTAAAGGCGGTGAGAGGGAAGGTTGTGCGTGGCGGCTGGACGAACGTCTGGACGTACGGGAAGGCGCGCAGAACCTATAAACGAGTGACTGGCCTCAAGAACGTCGACTTTGAGAGAGGACTGCATAACAGGTAGAATGGGCACCTCGGAAGGGGGGGGGCAAATTCGGCCGCACTAAACCCAGATATAAATAACGATAGGGATATGAGCCACGCGGGGACCGGCACAGGGGGAGCCGCAGGGCGGGACGCGCCTATCGGGTGGGGAACTGGGTGACAGGGGTGGGTTTTGCTGCGCGTCAAAAAGGAGGGAATTAGTGGGGGTGGCTTATCTGCCGGGTAAGGGGGTAGCCGGCTCGGACAGTACGAAAACGAGAGGGGACGAAGGGATCAACAATGGGAAAATCGGTTGGAAGGGCGGTACGGGTGGAAGAAACAGGGCGACAGGTGGGTGGTACAGGGGTAACACTAAATGCGCATAGGGGGGGGCCCAGCAGAGGAGACGAAGCGGCGCAACAACAAAACAGAACCTCGCTGGCAGGTGAGAGGGCGAAGTCAAGCAGCGGAAGCCGGGCGGGAAAAGGGGGGCGAAGGGGAAAGAAGATGGGGAAGATGGGACGCGAGGGGGAGGGCAGATATTTGGAGGGCGTATGATTTTGGCCGCGAAGTGAGAACTGATTAATTGAATGAGAAACTAAAGCGTCCTGGGTAACCGGGGTTCGGTCGGTGGGGTGGGCCGGAGAGTTGCGGGGTCTATGCGGTGGGGTCGAAGCGAAAGCGGGAGGAGAAGGAGTTGAGAGAACAGGGCACGAGAAGATAAGTCGGCCAAATGAGATAAAGTGGTGGGCAGTCAGAGAGTCCGTATGGTAGCAAAGAGAAGTGGAATGTGGAAAGAGGGGGTGGCTAGTGGGGTTTAAAATGCGCGGGGCGGACGAGTGAGAGGGAGGAAAACAGCCATCACGTAAGAATCGCAGAAAAATGCGGATAATGGAATATGCCGGCACGGAAGGCAGGGGGGTACCAGCAAGGGGTGGAATGAAAGCGCGGGGGCAGAAAGCGAGGGAGGGGCAAGTGCAGCAGTGTGCAAAAAAGAAGAAAGGGGGCAAGCTGATGGCACAAACGCAATAAACTAAACTAAGGGAAGGGGGGCGGTTTTGGGCGACAGTGCACACGAAATTGAAAAGCAAAGGCACGCGCCAGGTAGAATAAAATGAGCATTCCAATGGAAAGCAAGGTAAATGGGCAGTTCTGGCCGGCGAGGGAAGACGACCGAGTCGAAAGCGCAGCGGGAAGGCGGACCACGGCACAAAAAAAAAAAAAAAAAAAAAGGGGGGGGGGGGGATTGGTAAGCAAAAAACAACAAAAGAAAGAAGCAGGCAGAAAAGGAGAGAGCAACACGAAGCGAAGAGGCAGCGAAGACCGCGGCACCAAGTGCATCAAAGGTGGGGCGGAAAAACGCCCGCGAACACGCCGCTGAACAGCCGAGAAGATGCCGCGACCAAGCCAGGGGAGGGCGCGTGAAGCGTCGGCAAAAGATGGTAACGGCGACGAGAAAGAATTGGGGGTGGTGGTCTCCGGCAAGGGGGGCAAAAGCCGACGGGAATCAGCAAACAACAGTCACTACAGGGGGGGGGGGGCAGAATGAATGGGGGCCTCGAAACAAAATGTGGGTGGCAAATGGTGTACAAAATGGTGCTAAAGACAACATTGATCACAAATAAACAGAAGGGGGCAAGAGGGATGAAGGGGGAAAAAAAGATATATGCAGCGAAAAGGAACAAGGGCGTAGGTAATATAAAACGCAGCACGGCAACTGAGAAGGAACAACAGAGCGAAGAAGGTCAGAGGAGCGAACTCGGAGCGGACCAGGAGGAAGGATTGGGGAGGGATTTAAAAAGAGGCGGAGATGGTAGGGCAAGCCGGATCCATAAAGGGAAGTGTGGCTGAAGGGGGGCTGGCGGGTCACGAGCGTCAGGCTATGGGGGGGCCAAAAAACCTGAAGCGGGCAGGAAGAGAATAGCAGAAAATCACGCAAGCAGCAAACAACGCATAGAGATGGAATCAGCAACAACGCCGGGGGGGGCGAGAGGAAAACGCAAGCCAGGGGGGATGGCGGTCTAGCGAGGTGGGAGGGTGCGAAAACAAGACAGAGATAGGGGTGGCATGTCAGTGGTATGAAGCAGGCATAGAAAAGGCAGGAAGGTGGAAGTGTCGGGGGAGGAGGAAAGCCAGTAATAAGTGGACAGCGCGCACAGAAAGACGAGGGACCGGCAAGGGTATCAAGTCCTTATGAAGGACTTTCACAAACGTACTGCAGAGGCTTGGGAGAGCCATGGGGAGGCGTGGCCGGCTAGGTAGTACTGTAAAACGGCACGTCGGAAGCACGGCTGGGAGGCTATGGAGGCCGAAAAAATCTGGCGAACGGGAAAGGTGGAGAGAAAACGAGTGGAAAAAAAGCGGAGTGATACACCAGAGGACGGCCGTGTAAGCGGACAAGGCAGATTATACGCAGGGTTGCAGCCGAAAGTGTGCAGGTGAAAGGTATCAAGGAGGGTAGGTCCCGTAGCGACAAGCGACAAAACAGAAAGACAGAAAACGAAAGTATACATACCAAAGAGGTAAAAAAGCAGAAAATACAACCCAGTGAAAACAAGTAAACATATTTGTGTGCATGTAAATATCTACACAGTTCCTATCTACGCAACAACAAGCAATTCGCCAGCGAGCAAGCAGGGGGGGGGGGCAAGTGCGCGGTGTCATCCAAAGATGAATAGTTTACTTGTGGTCTTCATGCGCGGCAAAAAAACCGTAAGTAGCTTGAGGACTAACAATGTGTGAACTGTCTGAGTCAAGTCAGATGAGAGAAGTTTAATAACTTCACAGCATGTCGGCGCACGAAGATGAAACTATAATTTCTGTCACAAGAAGACAGAAGACGTTTCGGTGTTGGTGGCGACGCGTGTGGGCTTTTAAGATGGGTCACAAACACCCCGAGGCTTGCGAAGTGTCAAAGGTAAACAAGGGGACGCGCTACACGAGATATAAAAAAAGGAGGCGGAGCCTGACGGAAACAACGTGAAGGGGTATAAGGGGCAAGGCTAAGAGGCAGGGTAAAAGCTCTTAAAACCTGACGCGGCGAAAGGCATCAATAATCACGGGAAAGCGGACAAGGTATCTACAGAGGCAATCAGTGGAAAGGCAAGAGAGAGAGATAGAGCACGGGCAAACAGGGAGACTAAAGAAACTGAGCGCATGACGTACAGAGGGGATATATTTATATACCTCGGTGCGGCGGATTGCAAACCAAAAGGGAGGGGCCAAACTACATGGATGAAGAAACATCTAACGACAAATTTCAACTGCGGAGGGCCGACAATCTGCGTGTTTGGATGGAGGTGAGACTAGTAGACAGAGTCATAGCGAGACTCGATGACAGACAAGACGCCATAAAAAAAAGACTCTAGTCTGAAGCGAGGTCAGAGCAGGTGGAGATTCGGCCGGGGGGGTCAAAAGAGCGCCTGAGGCGTGGCGCAATCATGAACAAGGTGGACACGCAAAAAAAAAAAAAAAACAAAAGCGAGGTAATGCATGCTGCTATTTAGCAGGCCAAAGGGAGAATTGGCGGTGGAAAGAGGGAGACCGAAAGGTGGGTGCGGCCGACGACAAGACAAGAGTTGGCCCTTTGACTACGGTCCTACAAGAAGGATACTAAGCTTTGAGGGTCGCGAACTACAATATGGAACAGAAGTGCGTCGGGACCTCGGCGCGGATTACTGATTATGAAGGCATGTGAAATACATTGCGAGTCAGAATCGTAATGTGTTTCGAATATCCATACCCTTGCTAGGTATACCTAATAAATGTAGTTTATCAAAGTAAAAACCTCTTTTTTTTAACACATACGACACTTCTGGGTTAAATAAGGAGAGGTGGTGACCACTGGACAAGCAGGATTAAAGAAGGACGTCAAGGAAGGAGTTGATGTCGACATATTTGCAAATTGCTACAGAACGGCATAGATCCTCTCCGAGTTTAGCGAACAACTGACACTAAAATGTATACCTTAAACGAGAAAGCGGCATTTAAATTAGAAAGATGAACAAAAAAGAGAGGAAGAGATGAATACACAAAAATTTGCCATATTTCCATAACTTTTCGATACTGTATAGCTGAAGAATTTCGTGTTTAATCTCAATATCAGCATTTATAAGAGAGGTTTCTCGACCGAATTATTTCCCTTGCAATGTGCATATAAAATCTTTCTGCCCAATATATAATACCCCTAAAAAGAATCAGGAACACACATGCGAAACTTCATATAGAAGCTAAATAAAAGGACATTATTACACCACAAAATTATAAAATAATAAAATTCTAATTCAATCAAACAACAATCAGCGGTATAGTACAAGTTCACAGACAGTTCGAAGGTTTTCGAACCCTCCCATCTGCAAAACCGCAAATGAACAAGACGGAATAATTATAGATAGATGAGAAAGCACGGACAGATAAGCAAGTGGCGCCATCTGTTGGTGAACTAAAACTAAAACATAATTCCTTTAAGGGCCAAAGGCAAAGATGATTGAAGTAGATCGTTAACAAGAGGAGACTTTTTTAATTGAAATACCTCAGAAATCAGTTCTCCATGGAAGTTTTTTGAATATTTTTGCAGAGAAAATTGAAAGGGATTTTCGGACCAAATGTGACGACAAGACTTCTGTTTTTTTTTTTTTTTTTTCCACAAGCCTCATGGCCTTGACGTCGAAATTTAAGGCTCTCGGTTGTGGCCATTTAAATGACCACACTGCAGTGAATCCGTAACTACCCCAGATCATATCCGGATGGAGTCCTTGAGTATGGAGTCGGAATTTATTGAGGGAAATAAACTACCTAAAGTTGAATTTCTGCAAAATGTGCCACTTTGTAGCTAATTTAGAGGAAGGGAATGACAAACAGATTTTTATAATCTCCTAACACAAGAGTGTGTTTTTAGTGTGTTAGATAGAATTTTTAACTGCTGATATATGTTGGGTGAAACCCCCTGCAATAGCTTTGCTTTTTACAGAATCCTTTGTTGTTATCAATGTCTATTGGGAGGAGCAACTGAAGAGCACGAAACTAGGAATTACATGAGCTAACTTTTGTTTAGTCGTGACTCTTAAGTGTGGTGGATGGACACCGCTGAAGGTTTACTGTTAACCTAGAACTGAGGGGAAGTGGACGTGTGACCAAATTCGAGACACGGAAGATAATTGCAAGTCTCAAGTTTCAAAGTGAACGAAAGAGCGGATCATAGAGCTGTGTGAAAGAACGGGATTTAAATAATCTTTATACCTTCAACAGGGTAAAAGTATCGTCTACGTAGCGGTACCATGCCGGCGAGTAAAAATACCACGCTATGAATCCAGGTCTACTGGGGGCGGAAAGTAATGTCGAATTACGACGACTCTTTCTGAATCTTAATGAGTTCGGTCTTACCTATTAAGAAAGAATCAGTCATGATGTATTCTTTTATAGCTTTTTCCTTGCATTAACTCGAAGTTTCTGGAATTTCTGGCTATTTCTACAGTCTGACACAACACATTTACATTACCAATTGCATAGGCCAGTTCCGGCTTTTATCACAAATGATTGCTTATATGCATAATTACGGGTATCCCATATTTCAACGTAGCAGTATCGCCCACTCTAGCCCACACCTCCTGAGGCCGGATCGAACACCTGAGAGATCGCAGCATGAACAAGTTATGCCCGTGTATAAGGCATCATTTCATGCGAAAACGGTGATATACGAGCGATTTACCTATTTTCAAAGGGGGGTATAGTATCGATTAAATCTAAAATTCGCTCGAAGTCCCGCTGTCAGCTTTATAGACATTACAACGACGGGGGGAACCTCTGCTCAAAGTTTTCGGTGTCTAAGGATTTTACTAAGCACCTTGAATATACTGGAACCTAAAAACTTCAGATTACAATTTAATGCAGTATAATTCGCTTATAACGAGCACAGATTTAACGAGAACTCGGAGTTAACGAGGAAATCGAAAATACTAGGTTGGTACAATGTGAAGTCTATGGAAACATAACTCGTCTTTAGCGAGCAACAGTTTTGGGATTCATATATTTTCTATTGACTTCTACATTTCCAGCTCAGCTAATATTTTCTTGAAAAAATTTCTTTATTTAAATTAAAAAATTCTTTGTCTGCCGAGCACATACTAGGCTGCTTGGGTCTCTCTAGGGAGGTTATTTACTTCAATTCCCGCCGCGTGCTCAACTGTCTTAGAGTCAACGGTCTTTTGGACCTTGTCTAAGTTCGTCAGAAACCGGAGGAAAAGCAACAGAAACAACAGAATATTATTATAATTATATATATATATATATATATGTCAGGTATGGCCAAATTATGCCTTGCGATGTAATAATCAGCAGTTTCACTTTTGAAACATAATTTGAAACCATACATTTTAACAATGAGTAATCTAATGATTATGAGTAGTGGAAAATTATTTTGTATTAAATATAGAAATATTTAATGAAACTGAAACTTCATGTCCATCATAATAAATGTGTGCTGGCCTTCACGGAAAAAATAAAACTTATCTAATAATCAAATTCTTCTCTAGCGAATTAGGTAATAAATGATTCAACGCTATGTTTTATCATCGTATGTTAGTTCCGTCAGGTTTGTTTTGCGAAAACATTACCTATTATTTTTATGTAAAATGTTTGTTTGTAAAATGTTTATGTTTGGGTTCACATTATTACACATGAACTTTTAAAAATACACCTAATTCTGTCTTGCTCTAACCCTTTTTTTAAGTGAATTTGTTTTAACACAAATTCAAAATAAATATTTTATTCTCTTTTCTCAGTTTGGTTTAACTCGACACCCAAGCTTGTTTCTATGATCTTTTTACCTTGCCTAAATCTGATAAACAATTTTAATTTTGGGCCAATAATAAACGCACACACGAATAGATTGCATTACAGCTAGTACAGGAGAATGAAACTCCATCCCACGGGGAGTAGGAAGTCATGTAAGCAACTTTTGTCTCCAATCTGCATACATTAAAAATTTGGAATTGAAATCGACGTTTTGTATCTTCGATAAAAATTTAGTATACTTGTAGTTTTGTTTCAAAGCGAAAAAATTTTCAGTGAAACTTGTGCAAAATCTTTAGTGCATTTTGTGTGTAAATGTTGATACATTTAAATGTATAAATTTTAATATATAGATCCACAATATGCCAAAAGTTTGCCCAAAGTCAAATAATTGAAAAGTTACAAATTTTTCTTAACTTTTTTTAATTGGTAGAAACTGAGATATTTTCCTTAGCTCTTATGTAATGCCATATAATTCACTTATTACAAAAGCGAAAATCAAAGTGATTTCTTTGGAGTTTAAAATTCAAATTTGAGGCAAGGGGCTACGTTTGCTGGAAAGCATTCTGATGTGCATAAAGAAAGCAGTTAAAACTGAAGTTGCAGTTAGGAAGTCGATATAAAAAAAACACAAAAATAATTGCTAGTTCATCATCATATACAAGAAATATTGTCAAGGATTTTTTAGATCCTTGACTGTTGTGTGCTTGACTCTGGTGTAAACCAATTTCCTTTTTTCCCGTATGTATTTTGTCTTTTACAGTCATCTTTCAGGAAATTGGCGTGGTTTGGTTTACGTGATTACGGCAAAACCTCCAGGACTATTTGCCTAAAGGAACGGATGCCTTCGTGCAGGACTTTCTAAGCGAAACTGACTTGTACACACGTTATACTTAGGGAAAACCAAGAAAACGTCCATGCAGTCAGCCCGTTCGCGGCATTCGTACCTCTGACTGAACTACCAGTGTTCAGCGACTTTGCTGCTCGGCCGCTGGTGGGTCTCTTTCAGGAATTTATCTATCGTGCAGAAACAGAATTAGATGTATGTAAATATTCAACAACTAAATGAAACAGGTTAACGGTTTTTTTTTTCTGCCTAGGTACATCCAAATTTTTGCATCATTTTTCTCGAGATACGAATTTTGAACTTATCTAAATCCTGCTTTTCAATTATTGAATTATTATAAATCCTATTTCTCAATAATTAACAACTAATTACAAATTTATAAAGATCGCTACTAAAATACCTTACCTGATGCCATTGCAAGTATAAAATCCTGCCGATGCTTCAGGGTACCCTCTTATGGTGGCATGGTAATAGCAATTTTCAGGAAGCTACAATAAGCCAATATCAAAATTAATATTTGAAAACCAATCACAGAAAAAATAAAAGTGATACGTATGCATCCTAACTAGGCTAGTGATTTTGGAACATATAAGAATATTATAATTGTTTTATCAACCATATGATGTTTATATGCAATAACTTTAGAAATATCAACGATCAGATGGGAAATAGAAAAATCAATTATTTAAAAGGTTATGTTAACTACACTGTCCTCCAAAAGATAAGGAACAACATGTTTTTGTATCTAATTTGACAGTGAAGCAACACAGAAACAAGAAATTCAGAGGACATATTCACTAAACAGTTCTTTAATGAATGCGACATAGAGTGGTCCTAAAGTTCAACACAAACATTAATTACAACAAAAAACTTCACTCTTAGCAGAAAAATCCAGTCTTGGAGAAACAGTATATCACAATTGTTTAGGGAAAATGAGGTGGTAATATTACAAAAATGGGTTGTAATAAGGAATGAGTTCACCCCTAGCTGCAGTACATTGACGGCAGCGATTTTCAATGCTGTCAATAAAATTTTCGGTTAGTGAAATAGGAAGCAACGACCAGACACGGAGTAATCTTTGTTCAAGCTCATCTAACGACCTAGGATGAGGACTTAAAGCAGCAACCTGTGTCATAATATATTCCAGAAAATGCTCTATCAGATTCAAGTCTGGGAATTGAGCTGGCCATTCCATCCACTTCATATCATGACTCTCAAGATATTCTTCAGCAACCCAAGCTCGGTGCGATCACGCATTATCGTCCATCAGAAGAAATCCAGGAACAATAGCAGCGACATATAAGCGAATATATTGATCAAGAATCTCGTCTCGATATTTCACACCGGTCAAAGTTCCTCCATGGAGCACATGCAGGTCTGTGTGACCACCGAAGGAGATCCTAGCCCAAACCATTATCCCACCATCTCTCTAAGTGCCTTTCCACAATGTGGGATTGTTTATATCTGGTTCCCTTCAAATAAGCTGGCGATCTGAAGCACTCTCCAATGTGAACATGGACTCGTCTGTGAAGAGAATAGACGTCCATTGTTGACTGGTCCAGGAAACGTGTTGTCTTGTCCAACATAAACGGGCACCTCTGTGTACACCGGTCAAGGGAACACAAAAAAGTGGTCGTCTTGCATACACAAACCTGTACTGTGCAGGCGTCTGCGCACTGTAGTAGCTGAGATTCTTGTTCCTGTTGCTACTAAACGATCTGCCATGAGCTGAGGCACTGTAATGTTACTCCTCCTTTGGGCCGAAAGAGCTAAATAACGCAGGTGTTGTAACTCTAGGTCCGCCTAGAACGTGTCTTCTAGACACAGAATCCTCGAATTCAAACTCATTCCGTAGTTGGTGGACCACACTACGAGAGGCATTGAGATGCCTAGCAGCATCAGGTTTTGACATCCCCATTTCCATCCATTCGATCGCCCATCACTTCAAAAAATCGGGCAAACGACTTCTCATGAATATTGATAGACTCTCCTGTATATTGCCAATGAAATTGCTAATAACAACTGAAAATCAACACACGTGAACAAAACGATTTTTGCATTTTTTCTCCAACTTCTATATAAGTTTTCATTTGTATAAAATAAAAGTTGTCGCTATTGTTTTTGCATATATTTTCTTAGACATCTTTACTATCATGGATATAAACTGTGAATTTAAATGTTACTGACATTTTTGTAATGATAAAGCTTTGAAAAATATGCTATTCCTTAATTTTTGAAAGGCAATGTATTACATAAATCCTAAAGAAATAATATGTAGGTTCATCTCAATATGTCTAAAAATTAATTACTTTTAATTACCTTAATCTTTGCTTATATTTATCACATAATGCTTATCAAATTAGTGTTTCTACATGTTTTAAATATACAAAATTACTTTTATTCAGTAAAAACATTTGAAGTGTCCAGGAGAATTGAAATGCGAATTAAAACTTCAAAGCATTAAGATAACAAATGCTAGCATACGCATAGAATTTACAGAAGCAATTTATAGATTTGCTTCGGTAGCATAAAATAGAATTAAACTCCTGACAGATTTGGAGCGAATTATCGCTTAGATGAAGTAACAACAGTGTTTTGAAAAGGTTTAAAACAACCCTTATATTAAATCAGAACTTTAACATCAATTCTCGTCTCGTGCTTAACAAAACAAAAACCACTTTTGGCGAAGAAACTTAAAGTAACAGTCAAATTTTAAACTAAGCTTAGTAGTCAAAGGCTACATAATTGGTTTAACGCGAAGTTGGCTTATCGACGTAACAATTAAATGTCAGCAGCAATAACGCAAAGTCGAAGAATTACGATCTTATCATAGCTGGCGAAACTTAAGAACATGGCCGCGATAGCCAGAGACATTCTTTGTCTTACAATCCAAACCCCTTCACATAAATACTCTGAAACTGATTTGCATTCTGGTGAGGAAACGGAAAGGAGATATTATAGAAAGGTCTAAATAATAACTGGTTGATTAAAATGATAAAAGAAAACAACTCAGCGGATTTATACAACAAGATCTTTATTCGCTAGAAATGGTAGGTGGTTACCTTTTTCAGAGCAACAGTTGTACCATTCTTTTTGTACAAGAGCTGCACCAATGTAGGAGCAAACAAATTTCTGTAAAATAAAAAAAGTCCAGAATTATTTTTAATGTAGCACTTCACTAAGCTATTTTTCTTAAATGCATTTTTAATTTTATATTGGTAGTCCAATCAAAGCTCAATATCTTGAAAGACATTTAAAAGCTGTGCGCATTCTTAATTAATTAAAATATTCAGCCCGTGATTGTTAGTAGTATGAAATAAATCAAGCCAAATTTAAACAACTGGTGAATATTTTTTCTGATAAACCGAACAGCAATTAAAAAAATATATTTAGAAGAATGATCAATTGTGTAAGAGACCTTACTAACAGAAATTATTGCGTAATTCGATTATTATATAATTCGCTAAATGCTGAAAACATTTAAAGGCAAATATTGGTACTTATATAATATAATAAATTCAGTCAACTTCAATTAACATGTGAGCAACATGGCAGGTTTATTTTGCCCGTATAGTTTAACATAAGTAGGCTTAATTACGACAGCGTTAAAATTTTGCATCAAAGATCATGAATTCTATGTTCGAAAAGGAGAAGAAACTCTTGATAGCTAATCCCAATTAGGCACTTAATAAAAAATTTTAACATTAGTTATGGGAAAATTATCCGTGAAGGTTCTTCCTTTTGTGAAGTAGATTTCCCTGAAGCCTCTCACATTCGCCAAAATTTATCTTCTTTAATTTACATTAATTCCAATCCAATACATTCCAACATTTTCAAAATTCTAATAACTTTTCAAGTTTCAGTACAGTTTTTCTCAAGAGATAGCGCTACATTCATAAATATAATATATATATATATATATATATATATATTCTATAAGTATAGTTGTTGCTCCTCCCAATTTCGCAAAAATGTTTCGATCCTGAAGAAGAGGAACCTATACCCGATCGTTGTTGAAAGTGATATAGTTTTATTCAAAATCTATGGCAATTAAGGTTGCTTATTTTCAACAAACATCTAGAGGTTTCTTAGAAGTTCTGTACTGGGATATTTGTCTTTTAATTATGAATTTTAAGTCCACATTGCAGTCCGAACCATTTATATAATTATCATTAACTCTACCTATTAGCACATTGGAGGCCATAGTGAAAATGCAAACATTTTGAAGCAGGAGACGTGAAAATTGTGTATTCCCTTCGCCGGAACTCGAACCCTGGACCGGAAGGACTTGAATACACATCGAGTGTGCTTCCAATTACGCCACGAAGGTATGCGAAAAGGAGGGAGAAAATACCCTATAAACTTCTTAGAAATATTTTGAGTTTAATGATTAATTTCCAAGGATAGTTAATTAAGTAATCTTTTTGAAACATACTATATAAGAATCCGTGCGATACCAATACTAAATCATCCCATCTCAATAGCTCACATTCTGAAGCGTATGCCATAGTAAAAATGCAAACATTTGAAGCAGGAGACTTGAAAATTGTGTATTCCCTTCGCCGGAACTCGAACCCTGGACCGGAAGGACTTGAATACACATTCGAGTGTGTTCCAATTACGCACGAAGGTATGCGAAAAGGAGGGAGAAAATACCCTATAAACTTCTTAGAAATATTTTGAGTTTAATGATTAATTTCCAAGAAATAGTTAATTAAGTAATCTTTTTGAAACATACTATATAAGAATCCGTGCGATACCAATACTAAATAATCCCATCTCAATAGCTCACATTCTGAAGCGTATGCTCTCTTGAACTAGATTTATAGACGAATCCAGGGTACATTTGACAACTATCAAGCATTCTGAATATCCACTTTCCATGATCATCCTTTAATGACGCTCTAATGGATTTCCATTAAATACTTCGAATAATGACTTAGGAACGAGATTTATATACCTAACAAACATCTAGAGGTTTCTTAGAATTTAGTAGAGTTGTAAAGTAATATATATATAACAAGCAAGGTAGTTAGTACAATACGGTATGACCAATTTAAAATATAAAATAGCGGTCTGCTATTAGTCCTAAATATACAATAACATACGGGTTGGGTCTGCAAGCTTAAAGATTTATAACTTTATTTATAAAATTTAGAAATCTGTAATTAAATTTAAATAAAAATGAACACAGTGGGTCTTGCTAAGACCAAGAAAAAAGTTGTTGTAAAAGAAACAGAAAAAACTGACTTGTGTCGATGCAGAGCTCTCCCTCTTAAAACTAAGTTGAAAAGGGGTTGTAATTCCCTTCTGTGTACTCAGCGTCATCCCATCGTCTTGGATAGTAGGGGGAGCGATGTCTTTGGGCATCACCAATACGAAAAGACTGTCCGTTAGCTGTAACTCGTCTCTAATTTTCGAAGGGGGTCGAAGCTCGGAAAACGTGTCAGATTTCAAATGGCGTCAGTCAGGTTGTGGGAAGAAAAAAATTGTTACTGAAGTGAAATGGCTAATTCAGCTAAAACTACTAAACTTGGCCATAAAGTAAGAGTAAAGGAAAAAACAGTCATTTGTTAATAAAAAGTCGTAATTCTTCAAGTAGCGGGCGATCAAGCTACTATGAAAAACGAAAAGGCCCGATTTGTTAATAAAAGTAGTAAAATTGGCCATAAAGAATTTAAAACTATTTAAACAATAGTATTAAAAGTATTGTGCCAAAATTTTTTGGATGGAAAGAAAATGTAGTAACAAGAATTATCTGTACATTTTTTACATTTTTTACATTAGATTCTCTGAATCAGCCATCCACTTTATACCTTCCTTTGGGCTTTAAGCATAAAATATCATTATCTAACTAAAAAAAATCTAAAAATAGGTAAGGCTAATGCCAGCTTTTTTATAAAGTATTTTTAATTATTTTATGCGGAATTAGGTTACTTTTCAATATAGTTACGAAGTATAGTATCTCTTCTTGTAGGTGTTTTGCAGTATTGCAGATTCTTTTTAATTCTGAGTAGCTGTGAATAAATTGTGTTAAGGATGACTCTTTTGGAAATATTTGAATTCCAGTTTAGGTTAATTTTAGTGTTGAAAAATTAAATTCTCTTCTTTTGTCTTAAAATTTTATAAAATTGTAATCAATAATATGTAAATCAAGGTAGACTACATTATGTTGCACTGTATTTGTATTATTTAGTTTTAAGCATGTAGGGTAGATATTAAGCAACTTCTATTTTGTTGTAGTTATAAATGCAATGACATCATCAATATATCTGATAGATGTGTTGGTAAAATTTATGTTGTTCTTTACTGAGTGAACGGACAAAGGTCAATTCTTTTGTAAAAAAAGGAATAATTCACAGACAGAACTTGAAAAATTACCACCCATTGGGATTCCCTGCACTTGTTTAAAGATGCTATTGTTAAATTGAATAAAATTATTGAAAGAGCACGCTGGAGAAAAAGTTGCCATTTTCCGTTGCTGATAATGGTAGAAATTTTCGGAATAAATTTGGAAGAGCAAGTAAACTTGTAAATTATTTCTTCAGTGGTAGAGAAGTATAGAGGTTTTCAAAGTCGTAGCATTGGATATGGTCTATTTTAAGTGAATTTATAGTTTTAAGAACTAGTTCGTTACTAGAGATCATCCAGTTGTAATGCAGATCCTTAAAATCATAGTTATTAATTAGGTCACGTATCATACGAAGTTTTTGTGCAAAAAGATAATCTATTTCTTTAAGATAACTTTTGTTACTATTAGCTATGAACATGAATTTTATTGGAGACTTATGAAATTTTGATAAGGCATAGAGATTGGCAAACCTGTTGTTATATTTCTGGGGATGTTTTTTTTAGCCTTTTATGTAGTGCGTTAAATTTATTGAGAAGAATCTTAGTAACTGGTAGTGATTTTTTGGTAAGTGCAAGGTGTTATTTAACTCTTATGCAGAAGGTTGAAGTAAAATTGTTGTCAAATAACACTAAAATTGTTGCTGGCTTTGTCAATCTTCGTGATGATAAAGTTATCTTGCAGTTTTTGAATAAGATCCTCTAGACGTTTTTTATTGTGTAAAGAGTTGAAAAAAGGTGACACAGCAAATGTTGAAATTCTTTAATTAGTGCAGCTTTCCATTCAAGAAAAGTTGTAGTAGGTAAATTGGATCTATTACTAGCTAATATGATAAATTTATCAAGATCATTATTGAATTGTTTGAGGCAAATGTGCTTATTAATACCGAAAGTAGGACGAAATTTGGTGCCAAGTTGCATAAGGGTTCGCAATTCTATATCTTCAATGATATTAAGATCTCCAGTAATGACATGTTGGTGGAAAGGATCGACATATTTTTTGTAGACAGGCATTTGGCAATTACATTTGCTATTATCTTGTATAACGTGGTGGTTGATAACAAGTTGACCTAAGGTTTTTTCAAATTTAAAACAGGGCTTAATTTGAAGTGGTTGGTCAGGAAGCAAGTGTTGAAATTTTTTAAAGATGCTAGGTATTTTTAACTGATCGTAAGAAGGGCGTTTGAACTGAATAGTACAAAAAAGTTTTTTGTGAAAAAAATTACTATTCTTTAGTTTAAAATTGCAGAAGTCTATAATCAGATCCTTGACTATTTGGAAGCATTGAGAAGGTTGATTTATTGTTTTATCCTTACACTGTGGAAAAATGGCGGCACCTAGAGCCACCTAGAGCACATAGAGCCACGTTATTTAACCCTCTAGGAAAAACGATGTAGTTTAACGATGATGTTGCTAGAGTATACCAAAAGAGGTTTTTAGAATACTACGTAAATAAATGTTTCCTAGCTCTTGAAGTAACGGATGAAAATTTCCATTTTCAATTCTGTGGGACAATAGAACGCTAAAAGAAAGTATAGTCAACAGATGTGAGCCCAAAATCAAATTAATCAACTATGACGTTATAAGGTATTTCTCCCACTTCCCTAGCGTGCCTTCGTGGTGTAACGGTAGCAAGCTGGGCCGGTATTCCAGAGGTCCGTGGTTGAATCCCGGCGAAGGCGGTTGCTAATTTTTCATCTTTTCTGCTTCCAGTTAACCTAATGACTCTACAAGTGGCGCCCGAATTAAAAAGGATTGTTGATGATGATTCTCCGCACCCAGGATTTGGCGACTAGGTGCCCTAAAACCCAGGTCGCCCTTTAAGAAGGGGAGTATATAAGGTATTTCTCCCACTTCCCTAGCGTGCCTTCGTGGTGTAACGTTAGCACGCTGGGCCGGTATTCCAGTGATCCGTGGTTCGAATCCCAGCGAAGGCGGTTGCTAATTTTTCATCTTTTCTGCTTCCAATTAACCTAATGACTCTACAACGTTAGCAAAAGTAATATAAATCGTAAAAAAAAACGCAGTTTGTGCTAAGATAAAATCAGAGTTCTTTCAGATTTTTTATCAGAACTAGTGGGCAAGCCCGCCAGATGAGTGGCCTATGGCCAAACCAATATTCGTAAGATCTGTATACTGAAAATAAAATGAATTATTAATTTAATGTACAGCATAAGAAGTTGCTACCTGCGACTAAAGTAAAAATTATAACTTCTATATACACCTGAAAAAAAAGTGCATGAAAACTTTTCAGTACGAATGAAGTCTAGTTCGGCCGCCTCATCCGCGACCATGAGCGCAAACATGCATGCGCCATTCGGACCGAATTGTCAAATTAGGGTGGAAGGATGGGGACTTTCTTTCCCTCGAGTACATAAATTCCCTCTTTCCGAAGAAGAGAAGACTTTTACGTCGCAGCAAGTAATAACGCCCCTTTTGGACGAGTCTATGTATATTGGCAGAATGCCAGACAAGGTTGCGTTTGAGACGGTCGAACTATAATACCAATCTTTCCAAGCAACAACCAATTCGTAAATAATTTTCTTATTCCCAATCCAGGAAACAAAATCCTCGGGCACTTCAGGTTTATATGTATACGTATTTCGTCATGATTAAATGTAATGCAATATAACAGCTTTTTATCAATAAAAGAATTTAATGTAGCAGTAATATACCGTGTCAATTATCTCAATCTGAAACAAAAATGGTACCTATAAGCAGCTATTTATTTAAAATGCTGACATTAACGACATACAATGACGTCACATGAAATCGCGTGCTTTCATCGACAGCATAACGTGACCCAATATAATATAATGTTCTGCAATATTTTGTAAAACTTACAAATTTTTTATAAAAAAACTACGATTTGAAAGTGAGCAGTGGCAACACTTTTCTAAATAAAGCAGATTTTTATCTACAGCGCGTGGAACTACTGTCACTTGGAGAAATGAGGACGAAAATTAGAGTTTTCAGAGCTTTTGATTAATATCTCTGCTGATTAAGTTCATACGAAGATGACAATGGTCGAAATGGCTCTCCACCAAAGTTTCAAAATTCGGGGTACCTCTTTCGAAACTCAACTTCCCTCCGTTTCGGAAAAGATAATGCCACAAACAAATAGATAAAATGCGCACATATTTTAATAGTATAAATTATTATTAGCCCAAAGGAGCCATTTGCCAAGAAAGACTATAATTTAGTTTTGGCATTTTGCATCAGTTCATTTTCAAATTGTTGCCACCAAATAATACGGCCTTGCATTATATTTAAAGAAATTAAATAATGAAGAATCTGCATAAATGAATGTATGTTTCTTGCACCGTGAAAAAATAACGGTACCTAGAGACATCAAATTTTGAATAACATAGTTCTCTATTCAAATATGGGCATTTGGAAGCCGAAATCTGGAATTTGTTTTATTACCTATTTCATATTTTGTCAAACATTAAAGAATTCTTTTAATAACAAACTCAACGATTTCAAAGCAAGCAATGGCAACTCTGTACGAGTAAAAACACATATATCTCCAACAAGTGAGAATGTGTATCCTAAATTTTAAAGATTTGCTCTTTTAAATATTTTGTGATATTGCTGTGGAATTGAATTTCATGGTTTAAGTGTGACGAACATGATATTTAATAGGTAAAGGTAACACACAAAACGTTAAAAAACGCCTCTTTGGGCGTAATATAAAATCTGATAACTTTCTGATTTTTATTTTTATCCTTATTTATTTACTAACGTTATGTTTTGCGCGAACTTAATGACATTTTGATTAACTGACTCAGGAACTTAAATGTGTTGCTACTCGGCAAAGCGCAAGTTATTTGTCTTTAAAATTTAATCAACAAATTTGAGGTTATAGAAATATGTTTCTACTTGCAAGAAATAAAATATATTTATTTTCCACACGTTATGGTGCTGTTTGGGAAAGTGTAATTCTTTTAAATTTAACCTTTCAACTATAGATTATACTAAGTGATTTCGAAGCGATAAACGCAGTTTTTCGACTCTGCAGTCATTAACTCAGGATATTCGTAAAATTATACTAACCGGAGTCTTAAATACTCTTCATTATATATATATTTTATTGTTTTAAAGAATTTCAAACAACTGTCCTTTAAACTAGCTATCACATAAAAAAGTAAAACATAAAAGCACATATAAAAATACAGAGGCTCTTTACACATTTTTAGAATGATTTCGATATAAAATTTAAAAAAAAGCAGATGCTTTACACTAAACTTATCTCACAATAGCTTATTGTTTGAAATGAGATACCGTCTGCTATTTTTAAATTTATTCTTCTTTCAAAATGTCGCATGTGAACAAGCTGTGGTTTGAGTGATATGTTTTACCGAGATATGCCCACCAGGTTTTATATACACAAAACAATTTGTAGAACCCTATACGAAAACTATTTAACAGAAGATAACTAGAAATGCATTGTGATCCTTGATGGAACAGTGATTTACCTAAACGACTGTAAACAAGAAAAGCTCTCTTCGTCAATGCAACGAAAGTTTGAGCGAAGAACTTATGATTGTCGCACGATTGATTCTCTTGCAGAATGAAATTAAAAATGAAAAGACTGGGAAAATGTTCAAATCAACTCAACGTAAAATCAAGAGAAAATTTTACAACCGATATTTAAGGAAGAAACTGCATTTCTTTATCTCAATTTAAAAGACAAGAAACAAGGAAACAAAGAAACAAGCAATACTTCGAAAAGTAGCATTGCATTTCTTGAACAATTGGAAGGCTAATATAGGTATTAAGTGTAACATTTCAACGCATTCCTGCGAAATCTCCTAACGTTTCACTTATGGACCATTGTGCCTTTGGTCTCTCAATAAGAGCTCTTTCTAAGCGTAAACGCACCAGGATAGACGCAAAGTGACAGAGGAAGTTATTGGAAGATAAATGGAAATCAATGCCGCTGTAAATTTTACGAAAAGCCCTTCTGTCTTAGAAATCAGGATGAAATTTAAAGTCTAGAAAAGCGGCTATCAGATCAAATATTTAAAAAAATTACTCTTTACATTTTATTAAAAAGCTCAAAAATAACAAGGCCATTGGACCTGACTCGATTACTTCAGAACTTATTAAAAGTGCTGCAGGTCAAAACATTTCGAAAATACATCACCTCATCGAATTAATTTGGAACCAAGAAGTTTTGCCCGAAGATTGGAAACTGAGCATCATCTGTCCTATACACAAAAAAGGAGACATTTTGGAATGTACCAACTACAGGAGAATCAGTCTCCTTTGTCTTTTTACAAACTATTTTCCAATATAATTTTTAGTAGACTATAAACTTATACAGAAAATATTGTAGGTGATTACCAATGTGGTTTCCGCAAAGGAAGATCTACAGCAGAACAAATCTTTAACATTAGGCAAATTTTGGAAAAACCTAATGAATATGGCATTGCAACACACCACCTATTTATTGATTTTAAGACTGCCTACGATTCAATAAACAGAAAATATTTAATTGAAGCTATCAGAGAATTTGCGATACTTGAAAAATTTATAAATTTGGTCACCATTACTCTTACTGAAACAAAACTTTAACAAAACTTAAAATCCAGAATAATCTTTTGGAGCTGTTTCAAGTGGGCTCAGATAGAGTGATGTACTGGCCTGCTTGCTTTTTAACCTTGCCCTCCAAAAAATCATAAAAGAATCCAACATTAATACTCCTGGAACTATCTTCAACAAGTCTGTTCAGATTTTTGAGTTTGCTGACGATATCGACATAGTCGCACGCACTCCCGAGTCACTTAGACAGGCTTTTACATCTTTAGAGGCTGCAGCCAGCAAAATGCATCTAGCAGTCAACCAAAATAAAACTAAATACATGCCATGTGGTAATAACAGCAGCCCCTATTTTGAAACTGGGAATTACAAATTAGAAACTGTTAGCAAATTTAAATATTTAGGATCAGAAGTTATTACTCTCAATGATTTAATGCCTGAGATCCGTAGTAGAATCACAGATTCTAACCGATGTTTTCTTCGGTCTCAAAAAATACTTGAAGTCTAACTTCACTAGCAGAAATACGAAGATTTTAATTTACAAAAGGTTAATCAGACTCATTCCTAGATAATCTGCTGAAACCTGGGCAATGACAGAAAAAGCTAAAAGTATCATTTCTGTGTTTGAAAGAAAATGTTGAGAAGTATTTTTGGTGGCATAAAATGTAACAATATCTGGAGAAGAAGAACTAACTCTGAACTCTATAAATCTTTTAAAGAAATAGATATAGTAAAGTATATAAGGATTCATATAATTAAATGGGCATGACACCTGTGCATAATGGATGAAAATCGAGTAACTAAAAAGATCTTTTCGGCCAGACCATTCGGCATCCGGAAAAGAAGGAGACCTAAACTTAGGTGGCTCGACTGTTTGGAAACAGACTTAAGAATTTTAAAAATAACCAATTGGACGTCCATGGCCAGGGATAGAAGAGCTTGGAATTCGATTCTGAGGAAGGCAAGGGCCCATCCTGGGCTGTCTGGCCATTGAAGAAGAAGATTTTACATTTTAAACATTAATTAAACGGCCCCGAAATCGTTCTAAATATAAGTAAACACCCTCTGTTTTCAGCATAGCACATTTTACTTACGTATTTAACACTAGATCTAAATGCAGTTTATACTCGTAAGTGTCGATCAAAAGAGATGTTTTCTTTATATGATAGACCTAAAAATAAAACAAAATATATACGGATCATGTATAGATAAGTTATACCGCAAATAAACTATTACAAGCAATTTCGAATCAAGATCTGTCCAGATAGCCCCTTACGTATCTGGAATCATGTAACAATAGTTAGAACAATAATAATGAGAATGTGGATAACGATAATAAATAAATATAATAATTTAAAGATGAAAATCAGCTTCTCTCACACTCATTAAAATTGTAATATGGTTTTAAAAATCAAAATGTTTTATCCTTTATTGTTAGAAGTGGCACGAATTTAGTGATAACGAGGTCGAACTTCTAAAGCAAGCAAAAGTTTTAATAAATTAAGAATAAATTTTCTTCATCGAGTAAATGAATTACCTTGAAGAAAAAATGAAATAATGACGTTATGCATTTATTTTTATTACTTCAAAACTTCAGGCTTTACACAAAAACTGTTTTTCCAGTATTCAAAAGCAGCGATTGTCTTTCTTTGTTGATTTTATCTTTTTCGATGAACTAAAAAATATAACATAAATAATTTAGAAATTTTTGAATGATATGGTTCTAGTTAAATTACTAAAATAAAAAATATGATGTGGACTCCACATGACTTCCTTGTACAACCTATTAAATTATACACATTTTTTTTTTTTTTGCTGCATTTCTTTTAAACTTATTTCCTCGAGTTTCATTAGAGATATATTTCTCATTAAATCAGTTCAGTTCTCACTTTGCGGCAAGACAAAAATACATAAAATTCAAAACATCTTCATTAAAAATTGTAAAATACAGAAAAACATAAAACGCCAAATACAGTTAAAAACAGGAAAAAAAAAAAAAAAAAAAAAAAAATACGATTCAAATTTGATTAACAGAAAACATCAATTCGACCAATGGGCAAGAAGACATATTTTGTGGTGGACCAAAATGAAAGTTTACTTTTGCTCCCACTGGGCAAAAAGACACTAAAGTTGGTGCAGAAGCTGACTTAATTCACTATTCTAATAAGAGTTTCAAATGTAAAGAAAAGGTGGTCTCGTTATGTTTAGTAGCTATTTAGCAACTTTTAAATTGTTGATAATTTTATAGCTATTACATGCAGATTAACTAAAAACATAAAAAACTTAACCGGAGCATAAGAACAACATATTTCAATCACTTTTAAAGCATAAACTTAACAATTTATCAACATATAAGAATAAAAAAACTGAGCTCACCGATCCGGGTAACAGAATGAATTTAGTATACTATATACACTTTTGGTTAGCCGATTATTACAACTAAAACGAAAGCTGCACAACTACATGTTATAGCAGACCTATTTATAAAATTTCAACGTTCTGACACTACTCATTTTTGAGTTATGCAAGATACATACGTATGTACGTACAGACGTAAAAAAAAAATCTCTTCTGAATCCATTTTACAATCCGTTTTGGAAAAAAGAGTCCTTTGTTTAGTCCGTATATACAGATGTCAAACAAAAACGTCGTTTAAATGGATTAGAGAGTGTTAAAATGGATATTTTCATTGAAATATGATACCTGAAATTTTTCGCGATTCTAGTACTTCCTTTACTTAGTACAAAGAAGTAAAAATGATTCTTTTAAGTATTATCATAATACTGTTGATTATATTCAATTAGAAGTTGAATTGGGGCACGCATATAACTACTACATTGGAATAATAGGAATAATTTCATTCAGTTCACTAAATATATTCTTTGACAATTTTGATTCAAAACCCGTCACTGTTATCAGCTCTACGGCTTTATCATTGCGGCATCAAATCATACATTGGGGCATTTATGTTTAAATTTTACTAACGAAACGCAATTTGAATCCACTCTTTCCTTTTTGCATCTTTTAGCCATGAGTTTCGCTTCTTCTGGAGTTTGTTTTGCTAAATAATTTAGAGATTTATGAATAAGAGTTTGAGATTTTGGCCTGCGGTTTGCTCCCTCACTGATTGAAAAAATATCCATCGGAGATGCTAATGCTAATCTTGCTGGGAATAACTATGTTCGAAATTCTGTCATAATCTAGGCAATCCTGTTGTCTCTAGTTACATTAGATTTAAATTGTTGCATTTATAACCATTGTGAAAGGATGCTTTGAGTTCTAAAACCAGGTCTAGATTTGCTAGGCTGTATATTTTAATTTAAGCACTCACAAGAGATGAGGTAGAATAAACTTAAAGTGTTTTAATTTTATGTCTGTCTGTTTCACTCTCTGCCTGTTTGTTAGATATTCTGATGGAAATGATTCACCTCACAGAACAAAAGTAACACCGCACCGGTACCGTATTGATAGAGCTAAGTTATTTAGAACCTACAGCAAATGTTACAACCTTGATTAAAAATATTTTGGTAAATAAAAACATTTTTACTGCTTAATGAGTTTATTTAAAATAGAGTAAAGTTCTAAAAAAAATCATGCATGTAATGCTGTAGAAATGCTGATGGCATAAATGTTGATCCATATTGAAGTGTAAACTTGACAGTCGAGGCAGATTAAATATTCATTTTTATTTCAATTGACATTTCTGGCAACAATTCTCCTGGCACTATTTCAAGACATTTACATTTTTTATTGTTTTTCAAAAGAAAAGAAGCAGCAATCAACAGTCTAGATACGCTGAGGTATAGAAAGCGAGTGCGTAATTATCCAGTATGAAGGCTAATTAAGAGAAAGATTTCAGTTCTAATTAGCTATGTCATCATCATTATGTAAAAGTCATATGATATTTATTAATCTAGAAATGACCCAGACCAGAAAAGTTACTACTATTTTTAAAATACAGAGTGAAAATACCCAAATTAAAAAGAGTAATTATGGAGCTATTACTAAATTATGTTATCCTTTTGATTTACATATTTTTTATCTTACATGCATATTTTATTCAGTATGAAGATTAGCATATTAATTATCCAGTATGAAGGTTAATTAAGAGAAAGATTTCAGTTCGAATTGGCTATAACATCATTATTATGTAAAAGTCATATGATATTTATTAATCTAGAAATGACCCAGACCAGAAAAGTTACTACTATTTTTAAAATACAGAGTGAAAATACCCAAATTAAAAAGAGTAATTATGGAGCTATTACTAAATTATGTTATCCTTTCAATTTACATATTTTTTATCTTACATGCATATTTTATTCAGTATGAAGATTAGCATATTAATTATCCAGTATGAAGGCTAATTAAGAGAAAGATTTCAGTTCGAATTAGCTATGCCATCATTATTATGTAAAAGTCATATGATATTTATTAATCTAGAAATGACCCAGACCAGAAAAGTTACTACTATTTTTAAAATACAGAGTGAAAATACCCAAATTAAAAAGAGTAATTATGGAGCTATTACTAAATTATGTTATCCTTTTGATTTACATATTTTTTTTTATCTTACATGCATATTTTATTCATTTTCCACCATGAACTTTATTTGTTTAGTGTTTCTGCGAGTGTTTCTAATATTTTATTTATCGAATGGAATTAATTTTATTCTCCCTTCCCTCGAAGAACTGGAGTATTATTATGTGTTATTATGTTCAATGATCTTCAAACTAAAATGATTTAAAAATGGTTGTTCTCTGCAATATCGTTAGTTACTGTCATAACTTCTAGTATAGGTGTCAGGTTCAATGTTCCTTCTTACCTTCTTCGGGAACATACAAGGACCTGACTCGGAACAGAGAGCTTACTAAAGCTATGTTCACTAATTGTGGTAAGTAGACAGGATACAGACGAAGGGTATACAAAACCCTTTATTTTTCTCTATATACAATAACTTCCGTACTTCGGAATACACTGACCCGCTACTTGGGGTCTAACGTAAAAGTATAAAAAATAAAACTAAACTCTAATTTAACTTTAGAATAATAAACGTGGAAGATTGGCCTTATATTAACAGGAAGCGTATGTAGTACAGAGACTGTGAACACTACAATACGTTTAAATTTATCAAGAGGATTAAAACCTCTGGCCTGGAAGGCAAACAGCAACTGCGTAACTTCTAAGGTAAGCGGCCTGCTTCGAACTCACTGCTTCCTCTCTCGCTTGGCAAAAAGCCACAACTTAAATACTTGGCGTTCGCCAGACAAACTTTGCATAAAAACCTTAACGCTTATAATTCTGGCCGGGAAGTAGAAAATAAGAAGTGATAGTAAAGATTCAAAATAAAAATAAACGTTAGTAAAACTTAAGATCCTTACATACTTACCGCCAGAGTTAATTAGTTTGAAACTGAGGTCTAAAACGACCTTGTTGAAAACTTTTAGCTCTAGAATCTAACGCGAGGCCAATCTTTTACAAACATACTTCGCTAGAAACTAAAAATTTAAAAGAAAGAAATTTGTTTTTTTTTTTACAATAGCATATATTTTTACATTTTTACAATAGCATATATATCCCAGGATATACAACAATTTTTTTTTTCATCTGTACTGCATCTAAACAGGAGCTTTTATTCAAATCTGGTTCCTTCCAGAGATCTGGAAGGAAAACTAGTTTAATGAAATGTTACACAATGAAATGGCAAGTAACATATACAATTATACTTCTCTTAACATTCTTATTTCATTCATGACTATTTTAATTATCTCTCCCCGTGCTCTCTGACATGTGTTGTAAAAGAACACCAAACACGAATGTGTTTCTGTCTACGTGTTCCACACTTCCTCCTACAATCAAAACACTAACGTGTTAAAATTCAACATAACAAGACCTCTTAACACACCCTAATTTCAACTCTAAACCCTGAGGTACTATTCTGAAAGTGTCTAACTCTAAAGTGTAGCGTCAGAGAGCCTAACTACATCATTCAACCTTTAACACATATTCACCATGATTTAATCTGTTTACAGTCACACGAATAAAAAAAAATTTTAACATTACTTTCACTTTTACCATATCACGGTATTTCTTAACATTTAAAATAACAGTTCACATTGTATATAAGAACATATCAACATGCCGTTAATTTTACACATTTGAAAACATACA